TGCATCACAATCACGAGTGCAATTCCCTAAGGTACCAAGGAAATTCATGGGTGCGCAGGTTAACAGAGGCCCAGTTTGAAAATGTGCGACCGCTGCTAATATCTGGTACTGCTTCATTCCACATTAAGAATTATGCTTACCATTCTTATGGGAAACTACTGACTGATCAAGATATCTATAATATGCGGTACAAAGTGTTCTCACAGGCGAACATTCCTGGTAAGCCATTTGTCAATTTATAATGTAAACGATAGGTGATTACGGGAAATTGAAAGCGCACATAACATCTTTGGGTGGGCGATGCGAATACGAATTAGACGATGAGAACTGTCTATCGTACTTTTTCTTCAGCACTGGTGATCAAAAGATTTTTGCAGACCGTTTCGGTGATGTTATTGGTTTGGACGGAACATACAAGACGAATAACGAGAATATCTATTTCTATCAAGTCGTAGCCCTGGATATGAATTTGAAGGCGATACCCGTTTGTATTGCATTTATAAGTCGCGAAACATCGACTTTGATTTCTCGATTCCTGTCGTTCTTCCAAGGGTTAACCAACAGTCGACAGGTGGTAGGCATTGTGACAGATGATTCACCTGCAATAGCTGCTGCCATCATGCAGGTGTATCCCAATGCTCACCATATCTTGTGTCGCGTCCACCTTGTTCGCAATGTTATAAAGAGGGTAAGTGTTTCGTTCATTAACATTAACCCAGTAACCTTAATTGTAGAGGGTACGATCAGAAGTGATACAACTATTTTTTCGCCTGATGTTTACTCAAACGGTTGAAAGGTAAATCAAAAGCAACATAACATTATTTTGTAGTTTTAACAATGTATTATCCTTGATCGAAATATCGGACGGAACGTTTGCCCGATATGTCAGAGACCACTTACACAAATGGTCTACAGCTTTTCGACCATCAGCAACGCTACTTCAACTCAATAATACGAACTTTGTTGAGACAAGTCACCGAATTTTGAAGATGCATCAACTGAGTCGAAAAACACCTGTGCTGAGATCTATATTTAGTGTGCTACTTCGCGTTGGATATTGGATGGAAGCAAGATTACAGAAATATACATCAGATTGCCGGGTAAAAGCCAACATCGGCCAAGAGCCAGCAATGCGTGGACTTCAGGAACGACTGACACCAGCTGCATGTCAGGTACTGAGGCGGCACTTGCGCACTCCTTTGACGGAGTTTGTAATGTCTGCTGACTTATTCACGGCTGTGGACGCAACAGGAACTTTACAACGCCGTTGATGCATCGAGGAAATGTCGATTTGGATGAAACGTTAAGTAACGACGAGGATGACGTAGTTTCTATAAACTCAGAAGAGTTAACAGAACGGGACATCCAAAATGAAGAAGATGAAGAGAACCGTTTGTGTGACATCTGTAATCTTGCACAGCCGCCCTATGAAACTGGTGATGAAGTGGGTTGGGTTTTCTGTCCTTGTGAAGCTATGTTTCATAGATTCTGTGCTTATGACCCATCACCGAACGTACGAGCAGTACACTGTCCGATGTGTGGCGCCATTACCAACTAATAGTTTGGACGTCCCACCGCGAGAACGATTAAAGGCCCTTTTCAGGGCCACCCACAAATTGATTTAAAGGCATTTTTCCCAATATTGTTTTTGTCTTTGGCAAAGGTCAAGTGATTAAGCACTTTTTAATGTCGAATGCATTTCGATATACCTTAGATATTAATAATCGATAAGCGATTATCGCTCATGTATTCGTAAACTTGTTTCTAATGTATAATACATATAAAGGTTAAGAAAGCAGACAAGATTTTGTCATTTTATGAACACTTATCTAATAATTTTAGATGTAAAATAATGTGATTACCGTTCATGTCTTAGTAACATATTTGTAAACTATCTATTACTAGTACATTTTAATAGGAATATTTTAATATAGTGAAAATCGTTATTTTGTCGTTAGGTGAATAAATTTAGTAGTGAATATAATAAGATAGTTACAAAGATGAATGTGATTAAAGCTCATAGAGAAGTAAACAAAATTGAGAAAAATATCTTCCTTATGAATAAGATACTGACATTATAAAACAAGTTGAAGCCGTCATCATTGAAATTAGTAATCCGATTAAAAGGTCATATAGTAAGTGTTAAAAGAAATGAGAATATTATCCGTTTCATGAATACAAAATGCAAGAATTTCATATTCTAGTTTTATATTAATAGTACCTGAAACCAGAACTAAGCGTACGTATGAATTAAGTCCGATCGTCAACTAAGCCTTCATTGTTATTCATAACCACTGATTATATCAACGTATTCATTTGCACACCCATATAACTATTAATTACTGGTACAATCACACTATACAGTTATAAGTCCATAATTTCCATATTTTATAAAGGCCAAAAATATGTCATGTCATTAATGAATTTGACAATGTAATGTATTAACAATGGTGAACGTTTACATCTGTTACGACATATATATATATATAGTTACAAATTGTAACATTTGCAAATTACAAAGGTCATTCAATAAAGGTCTGGATTATTTGCAGTAAAGTGTTCAGTCACAATAAGTGGAAGAGCATTATAGGAAAATTTAAAATGCAAAGAATTTTGTGTCAATGAAATGCATAGTATGACAATTGAATCTTGTCAATTGACATAATAATAACAACAATAATAATAATAATAAGGAAAATAAATAATAATAGAATTGTAAATGTTCATTGATACAGTTGACCTTATTCATATTTATACGTTTAAAGTCGATAGATATTTGTTGAGTCAGTCAGACGACGTAGGCTTGTTCATTTACACTTCATGAAACTGATATTTCAAATGCTTGTCAAAAATGGTTACATTCATAATGTCTAGATATAGTTCAGGTTTCATATTACGGCGGTTAACAATATTCACACATGACTGATTAAACAAACTAGTATTTATAACGACCAAATAATTAATTTTAAAATACGGAACTGCAAATAATTTACAAGTGGAAATAATGAACCGTTTCAATGGATTTCCAAATTAACCACATTTAAAGCTAACGTTTTCTAATTCTCATTAAGAATGAACATTTACAAAAAAAATGTTCACTAAATATTAAGTGCCTATTTCGGTTAAATTTATTACTACATTCATATACTGTCAAAGTCAGTTCATTCAATGATGGTCTACGGTTGCTTCACCTGAATTATAAATATTGCAACCAGTAAGTTATCATAATGATTTATTGTTATGTTGATTTGTTTCTCGAACTAACAGACCATGTGTTACCAAAAAACCTATGCATACACTTTAGTGATAATTTGTTTATTAATTTGGTATTAAAGATTTGACTACCGACCTCATTCAGTAATCACTATTATCAAATATTCAAACCGGTTTTCAGTTGCTTTTTCCCAAAAACTTTCTTTTTATGTGATATATATAAGTACTCGTGACATTAAAATTGTTGATCGGAAATCAAAAATTTATCCCAATACGCATTCAGTAACAGTAGGATTGCACTTAAGTTGGTGTTTTTTTCTATAAATGTCTAAATTTCTTACAAGACTAAGATTACACAAAAAGATTTATTCATTATCGTTAAATTTCAAATGTAAAAATCAAAATTCTGACATCCAATCACAGCTCTAGATACGATTTCAATTTCAACTAATCACATTGCAAAGATGAACAGTTTACGACCAATTACAAAATTATTAAAGGTGACAAAATGTTTGTTCATTATCACTTGAGCACACACCTGCAAAACAAATACACCAATCACCGATCGCTAAATTTTTCTTTGACACCATACATTTTTTTACAAATGGGTGGTAGGGGATCTTAATTGCCGTGGGCAAAATGTCAACCTATCATATACACACACATATATATACATATATAATTCATTTAACATACCTGTTAGACTATCTATATATAGTCTAATTAAGCAAACAACCAATCATGATCATTCGCGCCCACATACATATAAATATATACGCACAGACACCCCTATACACACCTTATAAATGATTATAGACTTACTTTATCTTGTATTGTATCATCCCTTTCTTGTAATTCTTTTCTTAAATTATATAAATCTTTATTTAAATTATCAATTATATTATTTAATTTTTTAATTTCTATATTATAATTTTTTATATTTAAATTTGATTCTTGTATAATATTTTGTAAATTTAATAAATTTTTTTTAATTAAATTTATATCATTTTTTAATTTTTTATTTAAATTTAATTCATTTAATAATAAATTTTTATAATAAGATTTTAATTCTAAAATTTCTTGATCATTATTATAATCAATTAATTGTTTCATTAATTCATATTGATTTAAATTTAAATTTAATTGATTTATTAATTCATTGATTTTTGTATTTTTTTCATTAATTTTTAATTCATAATTATTAATTGTATTCATTAATAATTGTTCATGATTTAATTGTTGATTATTTAATTGTTTTTCATAATTTAATTCATTTAATTCTTTTAATTGAGATAATTCATTATATTTATGATATTCATTAATTAATTTTTGATTAGATATTGATTCAATATGTTGTAATTGTTCATTATGTTTATTTAATAATTCATGATATTGATTTTCATGATAATTATCATTATGTTCTTTATCTAATTTTAATAATTGATTTTTAGTTTTTAATGTTTCCATTTCTTGTATAAATTTTTCAGTTAATTCTTTGATACGTTCATTATAATTCATATCTTTTAAACGTAATTGATAATCATTTTCTAATTTTAATTCATCTATACGAGTTTTTAATTCAATGATCATTGAATTCTATAAATAGTAAAGTAGAATAGAAATTATGATGATTAAAAGAAAAGGAATAATCAGTATAGGGGTTGTGGAGATTGTTAAGTTTTTGATTGACATCATAAACCGATTAATATCCGTGTCGGGTAGAAACAGGTGTCTATCTCAATACAAATGGAAGATGGTCGTGCAACTTCGTGGATTAGTTGAAGTTAGACATTAACACCGTTGGATGCTGACTCAGTGGTGTAGAGGTTAAGCGCTCACGTTCGAGACTTATAGCTCCTGAGTTCGAATCTCGCGGGATGCGGGATCGTGGATGCGCACGGTGCACAGAGGAGTCCCATACTAGGATGAAACGATCGTTCAGGTGCTTTCAGGTTTTCCATGGTGGTGGTCTAACTTCAATTGATTCATGATATTTTCAATCAATGAAATTTTTAAAATCTCACACAAAACCCCCTCTGATCATTATTATTATTATCAAGAATTTTTCAGTGAGGGCTCAACCATCCACAACCTTTCGCTGCGAAGAATCATGAATCAGTTGAAATTAGACATTAACACCATTTGATATCGACTCAGTGGTCTAGAGGTTAAGTGTTCATGCGCGAGACTGAATGTTTTAAGTTCGAGTCCTGTTCACGAGATTGTGAATGCGTACTGCAGAGAGGTCCTGTACTAGGACATAGATAATGGTACAAGGAGGCACCAAATACATATGCGCCACACAGATCTCATTCGATCTGTGTGAGGGATGTGATACTGCCCGGGTGCCCAAACCGAAGTAGGTGGTTTTCTTAGGAAGCCACAACCGGAGCCTTTGACCTGAAGGTATGATCCACAAGGCAGTGGAGCAACGTAAGGTGATGCGGTCTCATGGTAGCCGGTGACCAACGATCGGTTCATACACTATTTGTTCGTTCAGGATACTGAAGCCCATGTGCACCATTGGTTTGAAATCAGGGATTTCCAACTCCCTTAGGTGGACTCCCCATGTCTACCAACCCGGTTAAAGCGCCGGACATTCGCTTTTTGTCCTTCCAATTCGTAAACAACATTAATGCTACGAGAAGGCAGCGAGTAGGACTTCCTTGGCAGAGGCTATATACGCGTTACCATGTGAGAACATTTGGAAAGGGTGGGCGGACTCTCGCCACTCTCTACCGTACCAGGGCATTTGGGAACCACGGAACGCCTAATTAGTACTTCTAGGTTTCCGATGGTGCTTTAGCTGTGATCAACTCATGAATTCAACTATTAATAGCTTGCAAAATAACATATTAGAGAGTATGTTAGTCAACAGTAACATTTTTTATATCCATAAAAAGTCGTTTAAAGAGTTCAGGACAATACTCTATTGGTTGAATATGTCCAACATGGAGTTGCGTGCTGTATTTCCTCAAATAATAATAATTATTATTATAGCAAAAATGATCTAGTCAATCATTCAATTAAAGTCAGTATTACACTTCGAATGTATGTCTATCCGTCCAAAGCACCACTTTTCACATCAGTGGAGAGAGAGAAGCTAACGCAATAAAATACAAAGGTGAAGAATCAGTACCTATTGCAATAGTAATCTGTGCAACTGTATAAGCTTAACTCCGCCTGGAGCCCCTCTGGCGCTACTGCCAATCCCAAGCCAGGATAAAGGAGGATGGTTGGGCATAGCGTTAGCGACCCCGTTCCGTAGAAAACCAACTCGCTAAAACAACGCTAAGCAGAAAAAATAATTCAAACCATTTAAACTCTGTCCTGGGAGTCAGAAGGTCTTCATTTAAAAGAGTTATGATGCCTCAAGTAACTGTCATAACCAAATTAGATTACTGTTTGGTAGTTAGAGAATACATGAAGTACAAACAAAAATGCTTTTACAGTTCTCCATAGTTCTTCGAACCTTCTTTCTTAAATTTTCAACTATTATAATATCCTCTCTCTTTGTGTTTTGAAAGTGAAATTTCACTGTTAAAGTTTGGATAGTGAAAAGCCAACAACTTTACCAGTAGATTACAGTAAAGTTCAGATAAGTCAAATAGATACCAACCTATCACTGAAACATTTGATTTACAAAGCATTAATAATTTCATTTATCTATTGACCAGGGAATTTTAGTAGCTGACATTCGCCTGAATGACATATCGGCTATTCAGTCATAAGCTGAACTCAAGTGATACAAATTGCAAAGTTGTAATAAGTAACTTGACATATTAAGATCATCACTAGACCTAGACAGCACTTCCTCTCTCGACATATTAAGTACAATCTATTGGGTAGATGGATCAAAGAAGTAACAGATTTTGACTTACTTTCTCTTCTAAATCTGATTTAGTAATTAATATTTCTTCCATCCATAAATTTTCTTTATCAGTTTTACTTGAACGTGCTTCACGATCTTGTATTCTCCATATTATTATTGAACAATCATTAGAAACAGTTATTAAATATTCATCAAATGATGCCATTTTCATTTTTGTTATATTATCACAATGACCGATATAATCTTGCCATTCCGAATGATCTGTAAGTGGCATTTGAAATGATCGAATTAAACCATTTTGACAACCACAAAATAACATACGACCAGAATGTGAAACAGCTACTGTTGTAAATAAATGATCGGTTGATTGTATTTCACGAACAATCTTTATTAAGTAAAAGAAAATAGACAATAAAAGTCATGACAACCGAATCGAAATGTTATATTACATCATCTTTTTTTTTAGCAGTGAAGCATTATTTAGTTACCATATACTCACTAGTGACTAGCTTTGTGAGGGAATTCTCAGGGTTCTAATGAGAATCTGTGAACAGTGGAGCCAATGCATGCCAGGTAAAGACAGATATTTACCTCAGTAAAATGGAAGATGGTCGCACAATTTCTTGGATTGATTGAGGTTAGACGTAAACACCGTTAGATGCCGGCTCAGAGGTCTAGAGGTTAAGCGTTCACGCGCAAGACTGAGGGCCATGGGTTCGAATACCACAGGCGGGTCGTGAATGCGCACTGCTGACGAGTCCCACAACACGATGAAACGGCTGTTCAGTGCTTCCAGGTTTTCAATTGTGGTCTAAGATCAATCGGTTCATGATCTCAATCTAAAACTTAATCATCTCCACAACCCCTATATCGATAACTATTTTTTTAGTCACTAAAAGGGGGGGTTTCCTGTCACTGATCTTAAGAACACCAAATGATCAATCTCAGTATGAACATCAACACTGAAATGTAGATATATTCAATGAGGAGTATCAAACAGGATGAAACTTGAGTGATGGATTTTACTGTTATCTACTACCCGAATATTTAATGGATAAATGATGGTTTGAAATCCTTTAGCAATATACTTATACACATGATCAGTGGTCTAAGTATAATAATTTGATAATGATTTATTGAATATTTGAGAGTAGATTCCAATATCAACGTATTCAATCAGTTGGTTCTAATATTAAAGGACTTTTCTCCAACTTATGGTATCAAACAAATCGTATTTAGAGTTAAACTACTGAATTACAATTCAGTAGTCTAAACGTCTCGTGTTCGGCATTACATCTAAAATTCATGATTAGAACACTTGAAAGGTTTTGAATGAGTCAAAATCAGATACTATAGGGTAGTGGAAAACATCTGTTCAACTCTCTCTGATCCCCATTGGTTTACTATCCCATGTCAGTTAATGAAGAAAGCTATTTTAAAGATTTATTAGCCCCGGAAAATTCCATGTTTTCATCATGGGATGGAATGAGAAATATTTGTGTGTTTAATGAAATCTTATTTGAAGGCAGTATTTTTAGTGTAGTGGTTACCTTCAATACCAATAAATAATTATCATAACTTTGATACATTATGATTAGCAGATACAAATAGGGTTCTCCGTATCCTGTTCATATAATTTGTGAGAATTTAGTTACCTAATGATTAGTCATGAATACAGATTACGAAGATCTAGTCGTAAAAGGATCGTTAGTAAGATCATTTTATCAGTCAGTCAATAAAGTTTTATATATCTAATCAATCAGTCGGTAAGAAAAAACTCAGAAACTGACGCACACATGTACATCAGTTCAAGTTATTACACCTCAACGAGATAAAATTATCAAGATGAATATCAAAGTAGTAGACGCGGTACTACTCTCAAGAATAGTAAAAAGGCACTACAAATAAAGAATATGATCCGAGAAGAATGAGAGAATTCATATAATAAAAGATATAAATTATCTTTGAAACTCAGAATCCAAGGATAGAAAAATATTAAGTGCACTTACCCTATTGTGATTATATCTGAACTGTGTTATTTATGATCTCTAACCATTTGTCAGTATGGTTGTGCAAATCTCAACAGGATAATCTACATCTATCAACACAGCTTAGATCAGCTATCAATGATATTGTTGGCAGCCTTACATCTTCGATTTAGAATGACATTTTGTTCAAAGGTGAAATCGTACTGCTGACTGTACAGAGGTATAATGGCATTTTAAGGTACTTCCTTCAGACAACCAGCATAACAGCGATGCTGCCTTCCCACAATGAAGGATGGGGTTACAAAAGGTTAATCCTAAAAATTCTCATCTCGCCTCATCTCGCGGATTTCCGTCCCCGACGGTAAAGTTCCAATAATTACAGAGCTAACACAAAAATTATTCACAAAAAGGTCAAGCAGTTGTCCCTTTGGCACTACGTTCACGCTCTCAGGTCAATAAGACCAACTCTAACCCAATTCCTTTTCAGGTACCTCCAGTAGAAGCCCTCCACAGTGTGGGCGACCGAGAAGTGATAATTTCCCTCATATCTCTATCAGTACTCAAGATCATTGACTGACTGATTGTCATATTTGTAATTAAAACATATATTTATTCACATATAAAAATCTTACCTGTGAATCACTTATTTCTTTTAATGTCTTATCTGAACCAACAGCATAAACAGTTTTAGCATCTTGAGAAACAGCTACACTTGTATAACTACAAGATTTTAATACATTTTCATTCATTCGTGTACCTATAAATTAAGAGATAAACGTAAATCACTTACGAGAATCTCAATCAGAATAAATAATTTGATAATAGAATTATCAAGTTTATTCAACTTGAATTCACTTGGTGTTGTTTGCTTGTATCTTCACATTATTTCATGAAAATCAACTCTGGAATGCAAGTTAAACTTAGCTGACAAGTCACAAATAGGACGTAACCCGCGTCCTGGATTCCACTGCTAGCCACTATTAATCTTTATTCAACTTGACTTTTTATAATCAATAATGAAGTATTTGTAAATGTAATAGATGTTGAAGGTCGATGTGATAGGTGATGATCGTGGTCAATTTATATGAAAATATCGCGGTTTAAGTAAGGGTATTACTAGACTGTGGGTGAAGAAAAATAGTTCAAAACTTTGGAGACTATTTCTCGAGGAATCCATTTGTATATAGCCTACTTGTTAAACAGCTGATTTATTAAAGTTTTTGCTGATCTAAAGTGCGGCGTCTGAGCGATGATACTGATATGCACTATTTCTATACACACAAGCCCGGGTACTCGAGAGTAAAGGTTAAGTGAAGAAAACCGTTTGTTGGCTAACCGAATCAAGAAACATCTGTGAACTCGTTTATATATCCCTTAGAAAATTAAGCTTTCTAATAGTTCAAGTCTGATTCCTTGTAAAATAAAGCTATTCCTTGGGTCCGTGTATTTATAATCTTGTCTGTTATTGGTCGACCATCTGTATCATTTATATTATCCTAACTTTAAGCATCCAATTGACCTGATATTCACTATAACTTTCATTAATTATCTGTAAACCTGTTACTCACTTTTGTATTACGAATGTTCTAGTTGTGTATCTAATGAGATTTATTATTTATGATACGTTATGATCTTGAGCTTTAAGTCCAAAACTATACAAGGTACTTGACTGGATTTTCTAGTCTTCTGAAAAGTAGTTTAAGAAAGTGCAAATTTTCTTAGACAAACGATCATTAGAGTATGCAGTGTAAATTTCAGCGGACTCTTAGTTAGTAGGTGTAGGCAAAATTCAAAACAGGCAGTTGTCATGGATGCGTACTGTTGTTAAGATTCAGATTATAAATAGATCGATAACCAGTGCTTATGGTATTTGATGGTTTATTCATTTATATTTTAACTTAACAATCCGCAGAAAACCCTAGATGAAGGCTTTGTGTTAGTTGAAATTCACCAACAAGGGGTATCCTAAATAATATGAGTATTGGTGTTTCGTAGATTCCCTCCAGGTATATAGAATCAAAGCACAATATATGCAATAATGAGTTATTTAGACTAACTGCCGTATTGGAACTTAGCACATACAATCCGATTAAAACTTAAGATTAGACAACACACACTGTCAATGCTTAATAAATGGTATTTTGTCAATTTGACAATATTTTCTCTAAAATAGTAATCAGTTGGTTGTAGGTATTCGTTGCTTAAAACTAAGAATTAACTAAGCTTGAAATTAAGTAATGGATAATAAACGTTTGGTGTTAAAATGGTGGTTGGAAGTAGTCAACAGGAAACCCTAGACTTAGGTTTCATGCAATTTGGCACTTTTCAGCAAGGTGTACCTGTAATCTTGAGGCAACTGACGCTCCCCAACGGATTCAATCCCGTGTCACCAAGCTTCACAATGAGAGACGTTATCATTGGGCTGTTCGGGCCACGACTGACCTCCTGTAGGACTTAATTGTATTTATAATTGATTGATCACTGAATGGTGATCAATGTCATGTGTGTCAGGCAGGTCCTTCTTGGTGCAAATCGAATCTTGTCGACCAAGTTTCCTGTCGACTGCCTCCAAACACCATCTTATCTCAACATAGTACACTCAATGTCGAGTCATGTAGACTAGTGACCACATTGCAACTTGGTCAATAGGATTCGATTTGCACTAAGAACGACCTGCCTAACACACATGACACTGATCACCACCCGGTGACCAATCAGTTGTGAAGGTTTGGTGTTGTTTATAAAATCAATAATGTGTTTTAATAAAACGGGTGCAAAGTAAATTCCGTAATTAGATTATATAGATAGATAGATAATATAAGATGAGATTGAGAAATTTAATGAATACGGACAAGAGCACCATGATAAATTAAGACGTTAAACAAAATTTTTTGTACACAAAGATTAGATTTATTAATGTGTTTACCTATAGTTTCTGTTGGATGTATAAGGTAAAGTCTAAAAGTTTGAGGCAAGTGATAAGGAATTCTGTAAATAACTTTGGAAGCTTAATTTGTGTTGATATGGCAACCGGTATCTAATATATGTTCTAAAAGCGCCTCTTATTGTCCTCTTTTCTTCTTTGATTGACCAAAAGAGGGTGATATTTACAAGTCTGATGATGTATTCGCCTGTTTATTCATCTAATATAACTAACTGCTTAACAGTAATTGAACTGGAAAATACACACATTGTCAGTGGGACTAGTGAGTTTATCCTTATTTTCAGAATAGAGATTTGTGAATATTGTAATAGTTCTAATAAATGAATTCATAAATCGATCTAAGCTGGACCACCATTGAAAACCAGAAAGGGTTAGATCGACTCATGAATTCAACTATTCAAATATCCTTATTTTGTTAGGTCACCATTTACCTAACTGAAAAAGAAATGACATAATCTAGTTACATTAAAATGCTCGTATTAATACGTATAACTGAAGAAAATATTTAACATTAATACCCTAATCTTAATGTGTTACAGTAGGCTCAAATCAATGATGATTAGCAATCTAATGAGTTTGATTTGTCTTAACCTCTGATTATTGATTTATTTACTGTTTCATTATATTTTGTTTAAACACAAACATTGGTACAAGGAGGCACCAAATAGATATGCGCAACATAAATCATTCAGTTTATATGAGGGTTGGAATACTGTTCGAACGCCCAAATCAAAACAGGTGGTTTCCTTAGGGAGTCACTCCTTGAGCCTCTCACCTAAAGGTATGATCCACAAGGTGGTGGAGCAACGTAAGAAGATGCAGTCTCATGGTAGCCGGTGACCAACGATTTTCTTCATACGCCACTTGTTCCCAAAAGTTCATATGTACCATTGTTTGAAATCAGAGTTTTACAACTCCTCTAGGTGGAACTTTCATATACACCAACCCGTTTAGAGCGCCAAACACTCCCTTTTTATCCATTCAATTCCATAAACAACATCCTCGCCACGAGGAGACAGCGAGTGGGACTTCCGTGGCAGTAATTGTATGCACGTAGCCATGTGAAAACATTTAGAGAGGGAGAGCTGACTCTCCTTACTCTAGGCCTTACCAGGGCATTTGGGGGCGAAGAAGGGCAAGTTGTATCCAACTTTAATCTTTGTATTGTTTACTTCTCTATTGTATAAGTATTGCAAAGCAACTGACTATTTATATAACTATAATATGAAATACATTTTCTACTTCGCTTTGAATTTATCATGGGGTTGATTACTTAAAAATTCACCACCACCATTGAAAACCTGGAAGCACTGGATGGCCGTTTCGTCCTGGTATGGGACTCCTCAGCTTCAACTGACTCATGATTTCAACCTGTGAAATTCAAAAACTCCACAAAAGCTATTCTGATAATAATCAACTGCTCACTAGTGACTGACTTCAGTTAAAACTCCTGGAGTTCTAGTGAGAAGCCGTTACCAGTGGAGTTCAACCGGTCTGTTATGAGATAACCACTCACTGAAGACAATGGTGTACGGTGGCGCAATTTCGTGGATTGGTTGAAGTTAGACATTAACACCGTTGGATGCCGGCTCAGTGGTCTAGTGGTTAAGTGCTCACGCGCGAAGCCAATAGGTCCTGGGTTCGAGCCCCGCGTGGTGCGGGATCGTGGATGCGCACTGCTGAGGAGTCCCATACCAAGACGAAACGGCCGTCCAGGTTTTCAATGGTGGTCTAGCTTCAAGTGACTCATTCTTTACTGTATGTTAATTATATTACTCACTAATATTTAGTAGTTAATGTTATTATTAAAAATTTATAAATACACCAGTGTAGCTACTTGTTATAACCAAACAAAGACTACTTACTACTCAAAGCAACGAACCAAATAAGAATGCACATGAATCTAGTCAACAGTTAAATTCGAACACATTGAACTGGTCAGTCATTGAATTAAATTAATCATCGACTTGATGTAAATATGCAATTTACAGTATCAACTGATCAACTATTTTAACAAATAAATCTAACTAAATAACTGAGTTATATATTTGCTTCAAGAACTACATTGAAATAGATCCGATTTCTCAACAGATCACAAAACAACAAGGATCAGAATAAAGGGAGAGATAATCAAAGTAAATATTGTAAACAATGATGTCTTAAAGATCAACAATAGCCAATCAGGATCAAGATCAACAGGATAAGTTATTAGTTCATTTCTAACTGAAATTTGTTCTGACGATGTTGTACACAATTAAATTATTCGTCTTAAATAACGAAACTTCACCTAACGTACAAATCTTCTCCATTATTCTTTCTAACAATAGTTAATCATACATTATTATAAGTAATTCATGCATAACTATTACGGAAGGAATTTGTTGATTGATTGTATATTGACATGGTAAACGCTTTAGACATCCCATAAATTGTGATTTCTAAACACTTACTTACTTATTTAAGCTTGTTACCCCTAGAGAAGGAGTATAGGCCGCCCGCTTGGGTTTCAGTTGAAATTGTGGTTTGTAGATGTATTGCTTATATTCTTATAAATAATAGTATCGTGTTTTATATCAATTTCATTATTATGCTTGCAGGACTTTTGTGTATCACTTAATAGTTATGTTAGAATCTTCAAATGGATTCATCAGTCAATTTGAGTATCTATATATCAATAAATCGATATCAAGTGGGAATCTATTGTAATAGTGTTCTATTTTATGCCAAAAAAGAAACTTTCATTACAATCAAATATAAGGTACTCAACAAAGCAATTATGATTATATCTTGTAATAGATCTATTAGGTTCGCTCAAGTCACCATTATATTAACCTAATTTATCCATTTGTACTGAGACTGTAACCTATATAACATGTTAATGTTATATAAGTGACACCAACATCAATGGATTACTTTATCCTGTAGAATATAACAGATACTATGGAATTTACTTAATTCAGCCTGGGGTCCCTCTGGGGGCTACTGCCGGTCTAAAGCCCAGATAAAGGAGGATGGTTGGGCATGGGGTTAGCGACCCCATCCCGTAGAAAACCAACTCGCTAAAAAACGCTAACCAGAAAAAAATATTCAAGCAAGTATGGAATTTACTTATATCATTATATTTTGTTAAGTATTACCTATCTTTGTGTTCCTTGAGTGTTGAACTATCTCCGAACCATCATTGGTATCAGTCGTTCTGTTCATGTAGCCGACTTTCGTACTACTTGCCTCATCTATACTGAGTGTATTTCACTAATTCAATCAATAATTACAAGTGATAACAATATCATCTTAGTTATTCTGTTTCTTTAAATGAATGACTAACCTTTTTGTGTATCCCATTCATAAACAGCACCATCTAATCCACAGGAAATTAATTTATGATCATCATCTGACCATATAATAGAACGAATTTTACCATTATGACCTTTTAAATTGATTAGATTATCAAATGTTGTCGTTGAATAAATTTGTATAACATTTCCATTGACGGCACCAATCAAATGTCCACCATTACTGAAAGCACACTAATAGATTGTTTTGAAAAAAATTATTGGCGCAAAAGTTAGATAAATTATAATTGAAACATTTGCCAAAATAGCATTATATTTTTAAAAAAAGTTGACTCCAATGAAAATTATGACATGTTAAGATGTGACCATTGGAGTCCAATCCAACAGTTATTCACCTCAGACAATGGACGAAATGTTGCGTAACATCACGAATCGATTGAAGTTAGACATTAACACCGTTGCATGGCGAATCAGTGATCTAGATCTTAAGCATCCACACGTGAGATCGAGTCCCGTGTGCAAGGTTGTGGACACGCAGTGCTGACGAGTCTCGTCCTGAGACAAAGCAGCTGTCCAGTACTTCTAAGTTTTCAATGGTGGTTTAGCTTAGATTGACTTATGGATTCAACTCTTAAAATGACTTTGAACTCCACAAATCCTCATTCTGATGAAAACCGTTTTTCACTTTATTTCCTCTTCGATCATCTTTTTTTGTTTGATGAGCCACACTACTTACCACTACTTAGTAGTTTGATAATATTTAATATTTTACTAGTGAACATGTAACTGTATGGTTATTGCTGTGATGATCTTATCAGTTTCGTTATTTGCACTGATATTTCGCTGTTTTAGTATTTTTACCCATCTCATCGTATATTATTATTTCTTCATAACTATCTTTATTGTCTCTGCCTTATTTGGACGGCTTGTCAATCAATCATGCTTATTCGACATCTTGTATAAACAAAGTTTAATTTGTTCTCATTAATTACTGATATCCTTGTCGGACACAGAAGTGGTTCATTCCCTAACTTGTAGCACCTGTTATAATCTAATGATTACAAAATCAATGAGATAGTTTACTTGCTTTGAATATGATCTTGATGGCGTATTTAACGTCTTGACACCTCATGAATAGAAGTATGCAATATCTTTGAATAAATGTTATTTTACATAGTTGTACAGTATTTTCGAAAACTTTTCGTTGTGTAACCTCAACAATTCACTTATAACTTGGTCGTTCCAATACAATTCCCGATTTATTTCCATATAAATAAGTATCAATCATTACCAAGTGCACAACGATTCACTAAACAATTGTTTGTATTTAAAAGCAATCAATGCTTGTTGATGAACACGGTGGATCTGATGCGGATGTGAAAGCGCGTATCGGAAAAGCAAGAGCAGTATATTTACAACTGAAGAACATCTGGAACTCAAAACAACTGTCAACCAACACCAAGGTCAGGATTTTCAATACAAATGTCAAGACAGTTCTACTGTATGGGGAGGAAACCCGGGGAATTACGAAAGCCATCATTCTGAGGATACAGGTGTTTATTAACAGTTGTCTACACAAAATACTTCGGATTCGTTGGCCGGACACTATTAGCAACAACCTACTGTGGGAGAGAGCAAACCAGATCCCAGCGGAGGAAGAAACCAGGAAGAAGCTCTGTAAGTGGATAGGACACACATTGAGGAAAGCACCCAACTGCGTTACAGGGCAAGCCCTCACATGGAATCCTCAAGGCCAAAGGAAAAGAGAAAGACCAAAGAGCACATTACGTCGGGAAATGGAGATAGACATGAGAGAAATGAACAAAAAATTGGATGGAATTAGAAAAGAAGGCCCAGGACAAAGTGGGTTGGATAATGCTGGTCGGTGGCCTATGTTCCATTAAGAGTAACAGGCGTAAGTAAGTAAGTAAGTAATTAAGCAAATGCTTGTTATGAATTTCGATAGACCATTGAAAAGATAGAGTTCATCTTAAAAATCTAATGTGTTTTCACTATATGCTTCAACCAGTCTTGTCATACATAAACTTATCAAAGCACTTGTGAAAATTCAGTTAACACTAAAATTTCTTCACAATATTGTTGTCAAGGTAAGGATTTATATCTGTTTACCACTTAGAAGAGAGTCCAAAAAAACTAATCCCATGATTCCTTACAGAATACAAATGATCAAGTCATATCAATTCATTCGTTTGTGTAGACATACATAAATAGGGAAGAGTAATTGTACAATCATGAGTCATGACATTTTAGGCGAATTTCTTACTCTTCCCATTTTCTATTAATTTTCTCACTTTTATTTAATTAACTTTTAATAATTTTCACATGATGTAGGAGAGAACAAATCAGCTTCCAGATGAAGAGGAACTTAGAAGACGGATAGAATATATATTGCGGAGATCATCAAACTGCATCACTAGGCAAGCACCAACTTAGGATACTCAAGGGAAAAGAGTAAAAGGAAAACTAAGGAACACACTGCATCGGGATATAGAAACAGACATCAAAAAGATGAATAGAAACTGGAAACAATTGGAAAGAAATACCTAGGACAGAGTTTTTTGTAGAATCCTAGTGGATGACTTACGCTCCTCCATGAATGGTAACAGGCGTAAGTTAAGTATTCATATAGAAATACTTTGACGAGTATATATGTTATTTAATATTTGAATTCATGAGTTAATTGAAGCTAGACTACCATATAAAACCTGTAAGCACTCGACAGCCGTTTCGTTCTAGTATGGGACTCTCCAGTAGCGTGCATTCACGATCTTGCATCTCAACATTCGAATCCAAGACTTATCACTAGACCACTGAGTGAGCATCCGACGAAACGATCGTCCAATGCTTCCAGGTTTTCCATAGTGATCTAGTTTTAATCGACTCATGAATTCAACTATTGAATTACTATAATATTCACAAAAACCCTTCTCTAGGTATAGATGTGACCAGATTGTTTAAAATATATAGCGCAACAGTATTAAATTGTTCAGAACACCTACGTCTACTTATTTCTTGACTTAAGTAGCTTATATATATTGTTGTCAAGTAAATTTTTACCAAGACAATATTATCATAAAAAAGGGAAGATTTCTGTAAACAAACAATCTCACTTACTTCACGACAACTACGTATAGTAAATTCATGAAATATTCTTAAATCATCAAGTAATATATTCATTAAGCGTAATTTATCACTAAATCCAACTAAAATAAATAAACCAGTTGGATGAAGTGCTACACTGAATACTTCTTCAGCAAATTGTTTTATTAATTCAAGATCACTGTAGAATAAAAACAAAACAGATTCAACAAAGAATTGTTCAAAATATATGGTACAAGTGGTTTAATTCAAATCATTATCTTAATTGAAACAGTTGAGATCATGAGTCAATTGAAGCTAGACCACCATGGAAAACCTGGAAGCATTGGGCGGCCGTTTCGTCCTACTGTAGGACTCCTCGGCAGTGCGCATCCACGATCCCACCCCATGGGATTCTAACCCAGGACCTATTAGTCTCGCGCCAGGCGCTTAACCAACTAGACCACTGATTTGGCCGTCGTCCAACGGTGTTAATGTCTGACTTCAACTAACCCATGAAATTGAGCGACATACACCATTGTCATCAGTGAGTTACTATCTCACAACTGACCCGGTTGAACTCCATTGGTCACTGCTTCTCACTAGAAATCCAGGATATATATCTTGAAGCCAGTCACTAGTGGGCTTATGTTGATTAGGTCCCAGGTTCGAATCCCGCGAGGCGGGGTCGTGGGTGCGCACTGCTGGGGAGTCCTACAATAGGACGAAACGGCTGTCCAATGCTTCCAGGTTTTCCATGGTGGTCTAGCTTCAATTGACTTATGATCTCAACTGTTTAAATTACTACAATCTCCACAAAACCCTTTCTGATATTAATCATTATTTTGAATAATGATTATTGCGTGAATCTATTCTGACAAGTGATGTTCGAAATCTGATGTTGATAAACAATATACATCATGCCAACCACTACCCCTCCCCCAACTAGCTACTTGAACGAGAACATGTGAGTGAACGGTAAAGTATAATGGGTTACCGAATACAATCTATTTCTTAGCTAATGATATGCACTTGTCCTTCAGGTCAACATCTGATTGCTATCGACTGACCTTTTCATTTGACTACTTCCAACTCCCTGAACATATCAGAGTCCTAATCAAGAAATCTACAAATTTCGACACGACTAAAACCTACAATGATGACTTGATTCCATGTCTTAGTTTACCAACCCCTGCTTGTATTGCAACCTGTTACTAAGTCAGCTATTACTGTGTGTTGGGTTGGACAGCGATAAGGTCAGTCGGCCAAACTTAGCACAAAATCTAGTACATATGTGTATCTGTTCAGTTCACCATACCACATAAACACAACGAGATAAAATTGTCAAGATGAATATCAAAGAGTTAAAAAGGGTAGTATCAAAGGTAAAGAGAACGCGACTGTAAATGAACTGAAAAAAAGGCATGAGTTAATTTTAAAACTCGAGATATAGTGGAAGATATTGCGCAGATACGTCTACGCCATTGCGACTTAACTTGAATCATGTCACCCAACATTTATAAAAATTGATCGCACTGACCTCAACCGAATTTATCATCATGGCTCATACCGACTGTCAATGACTTTAGGAGGTGATAACACGTTTTAGTTTGGGTACCCTTGATTTTCTTTTAACCTATTCAAAAATCAGCACAAATCGCTTGCCGTGATAGACGATGTGTAGGCATACAATAAGTGAAAACAGTTAATTTGTTTTATAGGTTGAACTAGTTAGTAATATACACCGATTACCACGACGCGCAATGCTAACCGGTATTGGGGATGGTTGGAAGATGGTTAGGCTCGGCCAAACCAAAAATTGGCATCAGTCCATAAAGTCACTCACTTCTAGTCTCAGCCATGTTGGTAGATGCAGACTACTTGGTCGGGGTCCGCGAGACTATCGTAACCAATGGTTGGAGACTCTTGGTGATATGGCTCAGAATTGATCACAATGGCGTAGGTGTGTACACTCTCTGTCTTCTCTTAAACTAAGAGATTAAAATCACTTCATATCTTTCCTTCTACTAATTCTTTCCTCCTGTCCTATATCCTTATATGCAATCTTTCTTTTATATATTACCATCATTGGATCAACTACTTCTATGAATTCGGTGTTCATCTTGCTGTGCCAATGAAGTGTGGCAACTTGGACCGATGCATATGTGTGCCTGATCTTACGTTGTAGCTGACTGAATGACTAACCCTAACTAGATAACAAATAAAATCTTCAAGTAGTCGTTATTTATTGTAGCAAAAAACGCTTCGCTTTTAAAGATCAGCAAAATATAGGTTAGTTAATCTCACAGAACTATTATAAACCAGGAAGGACAGACATTTCATTACAGTATACACTTACAACCGTTTCCTAGGATTAAACGGAGAATCGTCATATATCGTATTAAAGATTTGACTTATATACTACTTATTTACAATTCAGTTGTCTCTGAACTTATTATAATGATTTGTCAACGAACAGATAGTTAAGAAATCCGAGAATCAGAACGAACAGTTGCTTTATGTGATCAATAAAGTTCACTCATCACAAACAACTTTGTCATTATCTGTTATGTTAGTCACCGTTATATCACCAAATGATTAACTGATTCACCTAACTACTTTGGATTCGTTTTGCAAAAATGAACTCGTGATCCAGATGATTAAAATAATATACCCCTCTGATTATGAAGGGAACTCGTACTTATAAATGTCACCATAAAACCTATAATGAATGCCTAAGAGAACAGGAAATTGACCACAGTGTATATACTAGTTGGTGTCTCGTTAGCTGATTACATAATTCAGTTGATATATCGATCACTAACAGTTGAAATAGTTCGTTGTGGCACCAGTGCTTGAAGTCACTAACTTCTAGTCTGAGCCATGTTGGTAGATGCAGACTACTTGGTCGGGGTCCGCGAGACTATCGTAACCAATGGTTGGAGACTCTTGGTGACATGGCTCAGAATTGATCACAATGGCGTAGGTGTGTACACTCTCTGTCTTCTCTTAAACTAAGAGATTAAAATCACTTCATATCTTTCCTTCTACCAACTAATTCTTTCTTCCTGTACTACATCCTTATATGCAATCTTTATTTTATATATTACCACCTCTGAATTAACTACTTTTATGAATCTGGTGTTCATCTTGTTGTGTTAATGAGGTATGGCAACTTGAACCGATGTATATGTGTGCCTGGTCCTACGTTGTAGCGGACTGGCTGACTGACTGAAATAGTTCGTTTGCGTCATCTCAAGTTGTATGTTTAATGTAGATCTGATTTTTAACAATAGATTAAAAGTAAATACCAGAGTGTAGGATTAAATGTCTTATCAATAGACTGAGTTCGGCATTAGGAACCGTTGTAAACCGACTCACTTGTCTAAAATTACTTTACTCTTCAGGAAACCTAAGAGGTCTATGTTCAATCCTGTATACAGTAATAATTTGGCAGTGCTGATAAGACGTCATCGAAGAAAAACAATCATCTAAAGATACCTCTTTAGTCCCGGTTAGGTTAACCAAAATCCACAAACTCATTTAAAACAATTTCAAAAAGCAAACAAATTGATAAACATATGACGAGATTATAATTTATGGACGAACCAATCAGATTTAAGATGCAGGATCCTTTATTTTGGCGCAAAATCCATTCAATGATTTAATTAAATACGGGACGATCAGGACGTCAAGCCTTGGGTTTTCGCGTACATGTTACATGTTGGGATGTCGTTTTGTATCAGCTATTAACAGTATTTCTTTCATCACAAGACAATTGTCGTAATGTTTGTGCTTGTTACATGGTTTTTATTCCAGTCTATTAGTAGTTTGACGTATTTGTTGCTCACAAACTGGGTGTACGTTTAGTTAGCCTGATGTGGTTATTTGTAACAATGCAAACTCAGGCAAGTGAAATTCACCATTCATCAAGTCATAAATAGACCAAAATCAGAGTTTTGTGCAAAAATGAGCTCTTAAACCTTTAACATAGGATTCACCTTCTTAATTATGGTGTTGATGAACATGGATGTTGGTAGTTGTCTATAAAATGTAGGTGGAAGCAATTAGTCGTTAAACTATCTATGAATATTATATGACTTGCTAATATATAGTCATAAACAGTTCTATCCATTATAATTATCATCGTTTTCGACTGAACTGACAAATAGAACAGAACAACCTGAACTAAAATTATACCCAAAATTTACCCAAACCGGACGAAATTTTCTCAGAAATAGGGTGATTGAAAAGTTACGAACCAACAATCGATCCAACATGTACATTATAAGACAGAGAGAACTAAATCAATGTTCCTAGCAATGATTTTATGATTTTGCTGCAGCAAAAGAACACGTAAATATCAGAACACCTAATATTCGTGCGACCCAACAAACCCACTGCATTTTAGATACAGAATGACCACCTTTTGTCAGACAGTTCAAGGTCACTGAAACGGAACAGCAGGCAGTTTTGAAAGGATCTAGCATTTTTACCATACCGTTAAATACCATTTTAATATTATAGCTGATATCAGTTTGAATCTAACCTTAACATTTAATTGTAAATGTTATTTCTAATTCCTCTAATATATAGTATAAATCATGAGTCAATTGAAGCTAGACCAATATGGAGAACCTGGAAGCACTGGACGGCCGTTTTGTCCTAGTATGGGACCCCTCAGTAGCAGTGCCCATCCAACCCCCCCCCCCGCAAGATTCGAGCCCAGGACCTGTCAGTCTCGTGCGCGAGCGCTTAACCATTAGACCTCTGAGCCGGCATCCAACGATGTTAATGTTTAACTTCAATCAATCCATGAAATTACTAAAATCTCCACAAAACCCTTTCTGATAATATATAATACTCGTTTGTTTCTAATAAGTATATGAACAATTCAAGATGATTTTAGCATTGCTCAATGATCATCTATAAATTCTAGTCTCACCAAATCTACTTTCAATCAATGAAAGAAGAAAAAGAAGAAAAAGAGCAAAAACATAGATGACATACTTTGTTTCAAAATTCCATATTCTTACTGTTCTATCAGTTGAACATGTAGCTATCAATGGTTTACGTATACATACATCCATACCAATGATTTGTCCATTATGAAATGATTGAGATACTGGTATAAATTTTAATGTTTCATTTGATACAGGTAATTCTTTATTCATATTACTATTACTATTATTAATATTTGTATCAATATTGTTTAAATTAAATTGATATAATTGATGTGTATTTGTTGCAATGATAAGTAAATCTTCAGATGGATTAATTTGTAATTGTATCATCATTTGATTAATATTTAAATCAGATTCAGTATTGATTATTAAATCTTGAGGTACATAGATACTACTTATGAATTGATATTCATCTTTGAATGATATATTTGATTGATTCGTTGTACCTGTTGTTGTTGTGGTGGTGGTGGTGGTGATAGGTTTATCATGTTTAACATGGTGTTTATCAGAGTGTTGCTGTGATTGTTGATGTAATTTATCTGTAGTAATATGTTCAAACCAATAAACAATACCAGATGAAGTAGCTACAATTAAACCTTTTGATGTAGAAGCTAATGATGTTATACTAGTTTTTGTCTGTATAATATCTTTGCTAATAAATGTTAAGAAAAAGTAAAAAATAAAAAATCTTTTATGACTTCATTGTTTGTTCGCTTGTTGGTTTGTTTTTGTTGCTAAGATAGTGAACAATAAGCGGATTAAAAAGAACAATTAGAGAAAATATTTTAAAACTATTATGTCAATCACTATGGTGTGGGTTACTTATATTCCTATAAGTAGTATCTAACGGCGATCAGGCATAGAATGTATTTCAATAGATAATCGGTAAGGAAAGAATGGGAACGGAGTGTAATTGGTATGAAAATGTAGGAACAATGAAATATGAGACAATGGACTGATATTTACAAAAGAAACAGTCAAGTTTGAGATGATGGATTGAGATTTTGCAGATTAAGTATTTACTGTATGATTCTCAGATTATATTGAGATATTCTGTAATTTCGAATCAAATACATTCGATTGTCCCTGCTCATGTTCTTGTTTACTACAATAGTTTTTCAGCCAGTCAAGTGTAGCATGAAATCTGATACATGTGTATATGAGTTCCAGTTGGCATAATCAGTTAGTACGGCAAGTTTAAAAAATGTCAGGGGCCAATCACAGAATGGTAGAGGAAGTGATAGTATTAAGGATACTAGAAAAGATTAGATATTGAAGGTATAATTCAGGAAAAATATAAATTAGTGAAATAGATGGAATATATGAGGAATTTAGAAAGTTATCATCTATTGGAAGACAAAGATTGAATGTATCTGCAGTACTGAGGACAATTTCGAATCATGACAAGGTATTTGGTAATTGATTAAGGTAATCATACGAACTACAACCATGTTGTCTACATCTGCTTATATGGCTCAGTTTAGCAGCTAGTGCCTTCATGGAATAATTTTTAGTCTTGTTTTGGTCACTAGAAGCTTTCCTCCAATCTAATTCTACATCAGTTATCATTGCGTGTCAAGGTAGTCAATGGATGACCATACATAATACCTGTCCTAACCATCTTGGTTGATAAAGATTTGCTACCTCATTAACTAGTTTACCATATTTATCCAGTACTCTGCATAAAACGTCAAAATTTTCAACCCTGGGCCCCAAAATATGCTAGCAAGGCTTCGAAAACAACTATAATGAAATGTTGGTAACCTACGCGTACGCCCTACTTTTAAAGACTATATCTCACAGACATAAAGAGGAGTGTTGCAAACCACTGTGTACTAGACTCATCCTTTATTTAGCGAATTTATATCTCGCACAAGCTAAAAGTGATTTAAGTTGACAGGAGCCAACCGTGCTTTCTGAATTCGTGACGATATTCTGTTCAAGTAATAATAATACAAATACACGGACATTTCAAATAACCTTACTTTTAACTTGTGTGATAACTAACAGTGTGTTGACTCTCTGAGGCAACTGAATGGATGTAAAGAATATTTACCAATAGTATGTCTATCAATTTGTAACTTATATAACCAATTTTTGCTCTGGTGAAATTATAATTCCTGAGATCTCTTGTATTCGCCAAGTCAATGAAAGATACCTTTTAAAAAGCTGTGTAAATAATATATAGGTATTATTATTCAGAATAATCTTGCTGTAATATAGACTGTACTGATAATTAGCACGAAAATCTATTCAAGTACTAAGTTGTTTAGTAATGCGATAATGATATTGATTAAACAGTCAGAGTTTTGTGAATCATTTTGATAAGCTTAAATAGAGATTTGTTTAATGTAAGTGAAAGACATTACTTGAGGATGATTTGTCCACATTTAGAAGTAATTAAATTTGTGGAAAAATTATGCATTTTTCAGAATATAGCCTGCACGTTAGCAGGCATGAATATGAAAAGGCAGAGTTGCTTGACCATGATTGACACTCAGAATAAACATATTATTTTACTGCAGACCAAACATCTGATACGATATGTTAAAACATAAAATAACCCAAACTAAGAATAATAAAACTTGCAGGACCAGTAAAATTTCACTGATCCCTTACCAAGTCATCTGGCAGTTGAGTAACAGAATATCAAACAGACCAATGATCCCTGTCAAGGTCAAGGACAACCGGCGCGCATAAGTCAATCGTGGACTGATCCATGTGGTAGTGGTCACACTTTTGCCTGTACCTACTCTAACTAAAATATTTCTTTTTTGTTTAGTTTTCAAAGCATCCCTGGTACCTTGATATGACGAGGGGGTGATCTACGTTAGGTGATAACCGCGAGGTGTGACTTCAATGTTAGCTGTTTGTCACATTATTCCCGTTTAATTCAGTAGCACCCAAACATTCGATAGAGATCATGTAAGTTGGTAATCTACGAACTTTACAACAATATTCTAAAATTTCAAGATTCTAACCTACAGAATACTAGTCTATTTCAACTACATTTATGTGACAGGATTGTAGTTTCAGTACTTTAATTACTACAATGAGTATCCAGAGCCTTGTAATGCACTTCAAATTAACGATAAAAGTTGAATAGTTTTTATTACGGAAAAACCTGGGTTAATCAAGAATGATGAGGTCTGGATTTATAAATCAGTTGGTGACATTGTGTCGATCCTTCTTTCAAAATAATACGGACTAAAATCATTAAACAGCTAATTTTTTAAACGTCGTTCAGTCGCAAATGAGTGAATGATCGCATTATCAAACATTAAGTTGGCGATGATCACTGTAAAATCACCTTTATCATCTTCAAACAATTGTAATCACATACTTCTACCACATCATTGTCTACATGTACGTTTCCTAATTACTGTCTTATTTCCATCAATATTAATTAGTTTTCAAAATAAAGAATCTCATATTTGCTTTCAATCCACTAAATTATTGACCTGTGGGCTATTTAATTCCCATTTTAATGGCTGATATTTGACAGGAAATAAATAAATGAAGTAGTACTGAAACTAGTTTATCAGAAGGTTAGCGGTATGGAAGTTAGTTGAGATTCTTAAACAAAATAAGTCTGAACACCTCTATTACGATTCTTCTTCGTAATTTTTTTATACCGTCGTTCATCAGTACCTTTGGAAATTATTTGCGGTTATTCATAATAACAAGCAATTGAGAGCCTACTTTAAGTTTGTTGCAACTGAAATATCGATGTAAAACATAAAGACGTTGCAAACATTTAATAGTGGTTGTTATATGGTCGTGTTTCATAGAACTTTTCAGTCGCTAAACAAAATCACTTCTGGTTTGTTAGAAATTATGTGATGAATTCGCCTTACGTGCCTTCTTATCACCACGCATTCCAAATTCATAAAGTATAACGTTTATGGGGTAGAGTATGAACAAATGTGAAATATTTGAAAGCTTAGATTTATTTACCTATGGTGTAATTTTTGTGAGTCTGTTGTTGTCCTGAACTGGAAAAAATTATCACTTGTTCTACTTAAACAACATCAAGTTAAATCAATAGAAATACGATTGGAAGGTAACCGGTAAAGTAGTGAAAATATAGGTTTAATATGCCCACAGTGCAAAAACATTCAGTAATTAGACCCCAGAATATCAAACAAATAAAAATGCAGATAAAATTTTAACATAGGTGATGCTCAAAGCATTGTTTGTAATAAACCAAAAGGAAATATTTTGACGTAGACATCAGAAATATAGAAACAGTTAATATATACCTTTCCTGATATGCCCCACTTTTCTCATTTATAGCAGAGATGTTATATTCCGATTTTGACTCCCCATTTTCTACCAATATCCATCGTCCCTCATCAGTTCCAGCGGCAATTTTCTCACCATCAATCCAAGTATGACAAAGGAAGTTTCGAGGTTCAACCTTATTTATGCCATATGTTTTGAGATTGTTTTCCCCATAGCGATACAAACGGATGATATCAGTGCCAACAACACATATTAATGAACAATCCTGAGGGCTGAAAGAGATCTAATTAGCTAAATGATTTAAATATGTTAACCTAACTTGTTTGACGGGGTTAGATGTAGACGTCTTCACACTAGCGAGTTGTTTTGGTTTCTCCCAGGACAGTATGTTAAAGTCCAATCAGGACTCCCACTCTGTACTGCAAGATATTTTGAGTCCGGAGAAAAAGCTATACTAACGAATTCATTGGAGTGAGTGTCAGGAGTGTGCAATGTTTTTTTCTTGCGAAGAGCATGTACATCGTATATGGTTATGACAGGCTTATCCAGCGTTTTCTCAGAAAGAGCAATGTACCTTCTGTTTGGACTGATAGCAAGAGCTGTCATTCCTTCAGACTTTTCCAAACCTGGGATAAATTTTTGTGTTTTTTGCTCGAGGTTGTATAGGACTAAATTAGATCCACATGGGTAGACAATGGTCTGATCATCAATAAACACAACAGACCCGGAAATTCCGGTTCGGTAACCGAAAATATGTTTTAGGCTGGCCACTGCCGCCATTGTAATTGCAAGAAATGTGAGTTGTCCCGGTTTGTGTCTGCCAAAAATACTTTATGCACTAGGGTAGTATATAGAATGGCATGAGAGATGAGAGCTGTAAAAGACGGAACGAAATAAAAGGGTAGTCTATGACACAATTGACTTAAATTTAGTAAAAGTAACAATCTGTAACAACCATATACAACACAAGCCAGAATTTAAAACCGTGCGTTAAACTGTCATGACGACTGTAAAGAGAAACAAAAATCAGTTGGAACATAAAATCAGGCCATTCATTTTCCGTTTCAAGAAATAATTTAATTGTCCTTCGAAATTGTTTTTAAATATTATCACTTTTGGCTTTTATATTTACCCGCGTGTTACAAAAAGTCAATACCTAACAGCATTATGGTAAAAAGCGGTCCACCAATAGTACTATTTTATCCGACTCACTGTGTTGTAAAATGAATGAATATATCATGGTTTGTGTGTTATTTTCAGTTCTGTATTTTATATTAACCCGAGTTAATCTCTAATGTGGGTGTAGGGTTTCTGAATCCAGTTTTTCTGTGTGTTATTAAACATTTGCGTAGATGGTAATCTAAAGTCATGAGCGTAAGAACCACTAGTGAGATTCAGCAATTTTCATAGGCCATCGGTTTGTTACAACAGTGGTTTTCACAATGATAATGGTTTGAGAAAATGAAGAGATAGTTCATAGCATGAAGATCGTGCAAGTTAACAATTAGGCCATTGGATCTTTCATTATAGCGTCCCGGAAATGGTGGCAGTTCATCATTAAAGTCTTTTCCGCAACAGTCCACTTACTATATGTAAGATAGTGAACTGTTATATAGGATATTGCATAGAGGTGCGATGGACCCAGACCCTACCTGAATTTACTCTCTTTGATAGATATGTACGATGAGTTCATGTGATGTTTAATGCTTTGTGTACGTAAGTAGACTAGTAAGAACTACAGAAATAACATATCGTTGAGTATGTTTGTTGTTGCTTATCTCATTTACACATTTGTTCGTTCATCATTGCCATAGTGCGTGATAGACATTGCTTGAAATTACTAGTCTGTTTAGCCAATTTTACTACTTCTACTTGTCATAATGTGCTGAAGTGTTCCGCTTCGTACATTAATGTATAAAGTTGGTCGAAATGACCTAAATAAGAAAGACTTAGATTAAAAACATGACCATAAATTTTTTCCCATGAAACGTTCTCAGGGTTTTCTCACCTCTCACTTCCCTTTAAAGATTATCATTTTCGTTCAGAAGTAGAATGCAGACTTTTTAAATGTTTATCCCTACAGCCGTAGTTTCATTTGAAGTCTCTTAAGAAACATATGAATAGCTGACGTAAGTAGTTGCCTGTGGACGTAATATTTCGCATTATCCTTCGATTATTCAATGATAGTGTTTTGAGTCTCTGCCCGGAAAGCAATCGATGCATTCCCATTGTAGTATCTAGGACTATTCAACATAAATTTGGAAACAAGAATCATTACATTTTAAGTTGAAGATTTTGGTAAGCATCAAAATACGTAACGTTTATCGCCTTGGAAAATTATTGCTAGGCTAAGGACTATAATAGCTATTAATGAACTTATGCTATTAGTAAACTCGCTTAGTGTAACTGCCTACTCCATATGATCTTACACTGAGGTTACACACTGTTTACTCTGACTCGGCGTACTTTGCAGCCTGAATATTCCAGTTCTTAGGTCATTGAGCAGTGAAATGGAGCCCTAAAACGCTTTGCAGACTCTCTCTATAAACCCACGTGTGACATATTTTGCCGCATACTTAATCTTCAGGAACACTAAAAACATTGTAAATGGGCCATCTTATCATCATGTTTAATGGAGTGTAGAAGCTACATAAGTTGCCATTCTTCCAATTTTACTAACGGAGAGTCACCAAACAGATATTTGCGCTGATGCAATTAAGCCACAACAACGGGCTCAGTATGGATTCAAGAAATGAAGGTTTCTTTCGACGAAAACATTTTTCTTACGTTGAGCATATCGTTTCAGATGTTGCTTGTGCATACAAGTTATTTAGTATTATTCCACAAGAAACATACTAAATGTTAAGTTTCGAACATTACTTTGAACATTATTGTCAAAGAAAATCTATCAAATGATGAATACTAGGCAACCAGGTGGAATATCGTTCACAGCGTCATTTCAGGTATTTTCAATCATAGTAAGTGACAGGACTAAAATAATATACGTTTTAGTACTTGAAGATATGTCGAAACTGTGACCTATCAAGTCTTTGTTGCAATGATATACACTTAGCTGTCCTGAACCAGCCTATGCAGATAAATCGCCCTATGTCGGTCAGTGTATAGTCAATACTAACATAATTTGTCCTCAAAAACTACAACAAAAACGGTCTCCTTGTTCTATTTTCTGGCCAATTATAGACGTGATACAATTCGGAAATGCTGTCAATACATGTGAAGTGTTATCAGAAGTACTTTTACCATTAGAAAACACTGTGTTATATGAACTGCGGAAAGACAGTCGATAGTAATTCACTGAACGTGAGTGGGTCCGCGAGAAAGAAACTGATAGAGAAACATCCCGAAATCGTCAGTCGTATAAAGGCAACTTTGAGTAAACAATCATTTGTCGATAATTATTGATCAATTTTATAAACCATTTTATGTGATTTTCAAGTTCAAACGACGATACATGTTCATGAGCTGACATAATGCTAATGAGTCATTGGTGCTTTGAGAACAGCCAGTGTTACATCAGATGTTCCGAATCATTCTTACCCGCCCATTTGCTAACAGAACAATGATGCTAAGTCTGGATTCGATGATGGGTTACGTGGCTTGATTGAGAATCGCCAATCACTTATTCCTAATTTTAATGTTTAGGTTGCACAGCTTACTTTTAGTGAAATGAACAAAGTATGATGTCGAAGTTAATGCACTAGTTAAAATAACAATAATAATTTATCCACAAATAACTACATTTAAATATGACATAAAAACAACCTCATTATACATGCTGACAATTGTGTTAGACGTTTATTGAGTATTAATAGATTATCGATTAGATGCGTAAGTACACATATGTACTAAGCCTATAGTTGGAATCCCGAAAGTTTCTGGAGGCCTTTTAGATATTTTCCAAACCTTGTCGCAAATGAATAGACCGAAAACGAAGCCAACAGGACATACGCACAGTGTTGAAGTCGAAATATAAGTTGCTGTCTGAAATAACAGTAAGTGTTGCACCGGATAGTAAACGTCGGCAAAAAAGTTGAACACTAATGAGATCAAATTTTTAAGGGCCTAAATGGCGTGGTCATTTTTGTATTATGTTTGCGACACACTTTTCCGTAGTTCACTGCTTAGCAGGGCATAAACATAAAAAGTGCATGTACGGCTTGACGGGAACGGAATAATATAGGACCAGTCTGCGTGGAAGTATCAATGAAATTTCATAAATACAGCACAGAATTATTTGGTGCAACTATGAAACTCCCAGGTTACACGTGCAGCAATGTAGTGGCGATTATAGGGGGACAGTTGTCCTAGACAATACTTCGGTTTTGGGTATTTTGTGGTGGAACACTGCTCATGTAGAAACCGAAAGATCAAATTATAATTGACAATCTATCCAGTCTGACTTATATTAAGTGAATAATTTACAAGCAGATGTATGTTTGGATCGCCTCATTGTTTATATTTTGGCAGATTTGTTACACAGGAGCACTTTCCTAATGCTTATACTCGTTAAAGAACTACAGTATCTGACAGTGATCTTGTTTGTTTTGTTAATTTGATCGGTCGAGTCAGTTTGTTGAGTGAGAATAAAACCATCACTTCATTTAGACAATACATGTAGACATTAATCAACGGAATAATGGACTAACGGGTTAACATATGTTGAAATCAATCGATAAGTTTAATAACGGGTTCTTTATCTGGCCTTACCAATGTGAGATTTTGGTCTCAGTGGGTATTAGGTGCATTTATTTCGCTAGAATAATGGTCCTAATTCCAACATTGCAGATGTTTTATGACATAAATATCTAATCTATCAGACTTCTTGCGAAAGTCACATCATTGTGTACACTGACCCAGGCCATCTTCATAGTTACTGATCTGCATTTTAACACTTTAGAAGAGCACATTCGGAATGAGGTTGAAGTAATATAGTCAGCATGGAAAGGTAAATATTTCATATGGGACCAAGTCATGTCGCTCTGGTTCTGTGCCACAAAGATCTTTATTTCTGAGCTTCCCTATGTGTTAAGAGTGAATGAAGTTCTTCTCGATGTTTGAGTACCAATGATCCTTCAACGTCTCAATATTCCGTAGTGACGATAATATGAAGAGCTGTAGAATGATGGCCTACTATGTTATTAGTGCTGCGCTGATAATAGACCTAATCCTAAAATTGTAGACTTGTCATGATATAACTGCCTAATCTATAAGATCTTACGTAGAAGTCATACCATCGTCTACACCAACTCATCATAACGTAATAATCACCAATACATTATGTAGAACAAGCTTAGGCTAAAGACAGAACAATATATTTAATATGAGTAAAAGATATAAGATGCCATTCAAAATAGACCACACCTGAAAGACCAAGCCGTGCCAGTCGATCAACTTCAATTAATTCAATTCATTTTTCCCGCCTTCCTCATCGTTGGGTTTTTCTCCGCATTGAAAGTTAAACATTAATTTCCCCAGTTGTCTCGTGTTCAGCTTCGAGGATTGTGTAGTTGGGGCTCAATGCCGCTCCAGAGCTATGTAAATCAAAGACGATCAAATGAGGCTCCATACTGATCCACAAACTGATGAAACAGACGAAAACACTGGTTTGAAGTTTAATTTCAGGAACTTTCAAGCCATAATATTTTGTACTCTGAAGAAGTAACGGCTGGTTTAATGAGTGCCAAGCTCTTTGTATCTTGGTCTCTGATAAAAGGAAGAAGTGAGAAAATAGATGCCTTGTGTAGCCATCACAACTCAAAACTCCTAACGATTATATGCGTTAAATATCTAATCACGCAGCAACGATAACCAGCAATTAAAATATGTATTCATCTGAGTCATTAGATAAAAAATAGGAGCGAGAACATAAGTTGGAGACAATCGGTAACCTTAAAAATACAATAATTCAAGTCATTATGACGGACAGGAATATTAAAGACAATGATACTTCGTAAGGTAGTTTCGAAGATTTTAACTCTGT